AAACACATCCAAAACATAATCCAGGGCCGTTCCATTTGTCCATCGCATTGATTCATAGTCACTTATTGTACTGCTCTAATTACTTGCCAAAATCTTTGTCCCAAAGCCACATCTGAACTCTTTTCGTGAAGGTCAGGTGAGAAAGGGCTGACCTGATTTCACTGGGGAGGGAGTTCTATAGTTGAGGGGCCACTACTGAGAAGGCCCTGTCTCTTGTCCCCACCAATCGTGCCTGCGAAAGAGGTGGGACCAAGAGCAGGGCCTCCCCAGATAATCTTAATCTCTCGCGGGAGGTACGCTTGGACAGGGAAGCTGGGTTGGAACCGTTTAGGGTTAGATTTATATGGCTAACCTTGTTTCCAGTAACTTTTTCTTGAAGTTAGAATGGAATGACAACTTTAAAAATAACCCACCCTATCCAGAATAATCAATTAGAGGTAGGGCCCAGATTGGTTGTCATACATGGAAGTGGGCACCATATTAAATGGTGGATTCAAAACAGTTATCTTGCACGGTGAATGTCTAATAGCTGTTAAATATCTATGGTTTCTGCACCCATGGATTCAACCATCTACAGCTTTAAAATGTTTTCAAAGCTCAAAACGCAAATCTTAACTTTACCATTTTATATAAGGGATAAAAAGCAAATGTTTCCCCTTGACATTAAGTCTAGTTGAGTCTGAGTCTGGGGGGTGGTGTTCACCTCCATTTCTACGCTGAAGAGCTGGCGTTGTCCGTAGACGCCTCATGTGGTCAGCATGACTGCATGAAGCGCCATTACCTTCCCACTGAATCTTTTGCATTTGCATGTTTTCAAACTGCTAGGTTGGCAGAAGCTGGTGCTAGCAATGGGAACTCACTCCATCCCACAGATTAGAACCACTGACCTTACGGTCAGCAAGTTCTGCAGCTTAGCAGTTGAATCCACTACACCACCGTGGCCCCCCACATATAAGGGATACCATTTTACTATACCACTGCATATAATGGGAGTTGAGCATCCATGAATTTGGATAACCATGAGGTAGCCTGGGACCAAATCTCAGCAGATACCAAGGACCTACTGTAATATGGAAGAGGAGGCCGTAAAAGGAAGAAAGTTACAACTGTTTTGCAGCTTAGCTTAAGTTATTGCGTGTTGTTGTGCACTTTTGGATAGTTTTTGTCTTAGGATAATCTTATCACAGAGTTTTCTTGGCAATATTTGTTACAAGGGCATTGGGCATCACATTGCTTTGAGTCTGAGAAAGAGTGACACCCAAAGTCATCTGCTAGGTTTGGAGTGGGGATTTGAACCATGGTCTCCAGAGTCATAGTCCAACATGTTGACTGAAAGGTCGGTGGTTCAAATCAGGGGAGAGGGGTGAACTTCCACTGTTAGCCCCAGCTTCAACCAACCTAGAAGTTTGAAAACTTGCCAATGTCAGTAGATCAATAGGTACCACTCCAACGGGAAGGTAACGGCACTCCATGCAGTCATGCTGGCCACATGACCTTGGAAACATCTATGAACAACGCCGGTTCTTCGTTTTAGAAATGGAGAAAAGCACCACCCCAAAGTTGGACACGACTAGACTTAATGTCAAGAGGAAACCTTTCCCTTTACTCCAGAGTCATAGTCCCAACATAGGCACTGCATCACACTGGCTCTCCTGCTTGCTATTTACCAGTTCTGAATCAGCTTTTCTACAAACCAGCTAATGCACAGGCCCTCTGGAAACAACACTATAGAGTTTTGAGAAGCCAGGACAAGTATATTTCAGGGCAGGGGGAAAAACCATTCTCCCAAACATGTCTGGCACTATACATCTGGAGTCTTCCTGCCTTCAACTCTGATCTAAACAGACAAGCTCAGAGCTCACATGATTCAAAAAAGATAATCTGCGAGGAATGTCTGAGCACACAGATGCTCCCAAATGTCTAACATATATCTGGGAAGGACTTGCTTGACTCTCGGAAGGAAATAATATATGAAGCAGGACCTATGACAACTCGATAGATATTATTTGTTCAGAAGTAAGGCCAAATGACCTCCTCCCACAGAGTCTAAAGTTCTAAGGCTAAACTGTGATAATTTGTCTCCTTGTATAAACAAAGCCAGTTGGTAAGAGAAACATCTGTTAAGAGAGATGAGGAATCTATGGGAGTCTGTGATGTGCTGAAGACAATTTTAGGGGGGGGGGGGAGAGAGAGAAAGATGTATATGTATGTATCTATAGCAGACCTGGGCAAACTTAGGCCTTCTCTCCAAGTTTTTGGACTTCAACTCCCACCATTCCTAACAGCCTCAGGTTTAAGTGGCTAAGGGGGAGGGGGGAGGAAGGGGCTGTTAGGAATGGTGGGAGTTGAAGTCCAAAACACCTGGAGGAAGAGCCAAAGTTTGCCCATTTCTGATCTATAGGCTGAGCATCCAAAGTTCGGAAATAATCCAAAACAGTCCCCATGGGTGGTTGGGACAGTGACACCTTTGCTTTCTGCTGGTTCAACGTGCACACATGTTGTCTCACGGACAAAAAGGATTGTGTATACAACTAATTTCTGGCAATGGGTATCATAAGGTGCCTTGGGTCCCATCTCTGAGATGTCTTACATATAAAAATACGCCAAAAAATTAAAAATATCCAAAAACACTTCTGGTCCCAAGCGTTCCAGACTGGATCCACACTGTCATCCAAAGCAGTCCCAACTGCATTACAAGGCAGGGTAAATCCAGCCTCAAATATGGGACACTCAACTAGGATCAGTCCATATCAGTCCTTCAAAGAGACTGATATCTTGCCTTTGTCCTGATTCAGCATCTCCCTTTGGCCTCTTCTTGCGCTCCTGGAGGTCCTGACGTGGCTCTCTGACAAGCCATGCGAGAAAATTTTTGTTTAACGTATTGTCAAAAGGCTTTCATGACCACAATCACTGGGTTGTTGTGAGCTTTCCGGCCTGTATGGCCATGCTTCAGAAGCATGCTCTCCTGACATTTCACCTGCATCTATGGCAGGCATCCTCAGAGGGTGTGAGGTCTGTTGGAAACTAGGCAAGTGAAGTTTATATATCTGTGAAGTGTCCAGGGTGGGAAAAAGAACTCTTGTCTGCTTGAGGTAAGTGTGAAGGTTAAAATTGGCCACCTTGATTAGCATTGTGGGCCCTTCTACACAACCTTATATCCCAGAATATCAAGGCAGAAAACCCCACCTTATCTGAGTGTGGATTCAGCAGATTTGAAAGATTTTCTACCTTGGTATTCTGATATAGGGCTGTGTGGAAGAACCCTGAATGGCCTTGCAGCTTCGAGGTCTGGCTTCTTGCTACCTGGGGGGAATTCTTTGTTGGGAGGTGATTAGCTGGCCCTGATTGTTGCTTGCCTGAACAAGAGTTCTTTCTCCCACCCTGGACAAACCCCATTTTCCTAGGGCTCTTCCACACAGTCCTATATCCCAGGATGTCAAGGTAGAAAATCCGACATTATCTGAGTATAGATTCAGATAAAGCAGATAATCATAATCATAATCAGGACCTCAAAATCGAACTGCAAAGGCTCTGCCATAAACCAGTACAGGTGGTCACAGTGGTCACTGGCGCACTGGGTGCTGTGCCAAAAGATCTCAGCTGGCATTTGGAAACAATAAACATTGACAAAATCACGATCTGTCAACTGCAAAAGGCCACCTGACTTGGATCTGCGTGCATCATTCGAAAATACATCTCACAGTCCTAGACACTTGAGAAGTGTTCGACGTGATTTCGTAATATGAAATCCAGCATACAGATCTCGTTTGCTGTGACATACTGCGCTTTTGTGTCAGTAAAATAATAATAATAATAATAATAATAATAATAATAAAATCTTTATTTATATACTGCCCTATCTCCCCTAGAGGACAAACATGAAACAGACAGAGTAGCCATTAAAATATAAACATAACCTGTAAACAAAATCATATGCATTAAAACAAACTGATTCCATCTGCTTTGAACTGGGTTATCAGAGTCCATACTCAGATAATGTGAGTTTTAATGCATTGATGTTGTGGGATATAGGGCTGTTTGGAAGGGCCTTGGATGGCCTTGCAACATCAAGGTCTGGCTTCTTACTGCATAGGAGAATCCTTTATTGGGAGGTGATTAGTTGGCCCTGATTGTTTGTCTGAAAAGAGTTCTTTCTCCCACCCTGGACATTCCACAGGTATATAAACCCCATTTTCCCAGGCCTTTCCGCACAGCCCTATATCCCAGAATATAAAGGCAGAACCCCCCACATTATCTGCTTTGGACAGGAATATATGGCAGTGTGGACTCAGATAACCCAGTATCCCAGGATATCAAGGCAGCACCCCGCACATTATCTGCTTTGTACTGGAATGTAAGTCAGTGTGGACTCTGATATTCAAAGCAGATATTGTGAGGTTTTCTGCCTTGATATTCTGGGATATAGGGCTGTGTGGAAGGGCCCCAAGTTTCCAATGGACCTCACAACCTCTGAGGATGCCTGCCAGAGATGCAGGAGAGAATGCTTCTGGAACACGACCATTCAGCCTGGAAAACTCACAAACAACCCAAGTCTTTTTGTTTGTTTGTTTGTGTGAGCGCCCAGGCCTGAAGAAACCCCTCCCTCCGGAGGGGGAGAGGGGAGTGGAAGCCCACGACTCACTTCGGAAGCCCCCCGCAAAACAAACCAGGGCGCAGGGCACGCAGAAAGAGCCGCCTTCGGGTCGCGAACACGCGGCGGGGCAGCGCCTGCCAACTGCACGCCTTGGGTGAAGCCAAACAAAACAACAGCAAAGCAAACAGGGCGAAATCAGAGGCGGGAGGAGGGAAGCGGGAGAAGGAAAGTCCCGGGTCAACTCCACAAACTGGGAGAGAGCTGGAGCTGGAGAAAGAAGGGTTTGGAAAGAGGAGGCGAGAGAAAGGAGAGGGAGAAAAGTATCCAACTCGACAAAGAGAGAGAGAGAGAGAGAGAAGTTGGGAAGGAGAAAGTTTGGCGGAGTGCTGCAAGGAGGAGTCCTTACCCTTGGTCCACTCGACCACTTGCTTGGGGCTCCACTTGCTCACCGGCTCCATCCTCCAAGACTCCCCAGGCGGAGGCGGCTAGGGCTGGCTGATGCGTCCGCTCTGGCCCCGCTGGCGTCGGGCTCCCATCGGAGCAGGCGGCCGCCCAGGCGAGCAGGAGGAGGCAGGCCGGCAGGGAGGGAGGGAGGCAGGCGGGCAGGCAAGCGGGCGGGCGGGCGGGAGTCCCGGCTCCGCGCCGCCCCCTTCGGCCCGGGCCAGCCTCCCTCTCTCCCTGCCTGCCTGCCTGCTTCCCTCCTCCGCCTGGCCCCGCTCTGCCYCCTGCAGGAGGGACGCGGAAGCGCAGCAGGGCAAGACGCTCCCGGGAGGAAAGCCCACACAGCTCTCCCTTCTGCTTTGCTTTGCCTTTTTCAGCCCCTGAAGGTGGGAAAAGGGCCTGCCTCCAGGGGCAAACCAAGAGTGGGCAACTTGGAAGTCAATGGGCAGGCTCAGAAGTGGAGTGGGCAGAACAAAAGGCAACCTGGCAAAATGGCACTTCCTAGAACAGTGTTGCTCAATCTGGAGGTTGGGACCCCTGGGGGGAGGTCACGAGGGGGTGTCAGAAGGGTCACCAAAGACCATCAGAAAACAGTAGTGCGGGGGGGGGGGGCTTGAGGGGCTTCAGCCCCCCCCCCCCGAAATTCTCATGGTGGTTCACGAAAAGGCCTTACTGGTGCATTATTTAAACTGTTATGTTTATTCATATCATGATCTGATCACCCTACTCAATATATCCCATATGCATGGGGGTATTGGGGTAACGATACAAAAGGTTTGCTAGGGTAGACCCTCTTTCACTCAGACTCAGGCCCCCCCCCCCCCCCCCCCCCCCCCCACTTTGGCCCAGTTCTATCACTGGTTCAGAATGCTCTTTATTGTAGGTGAACAATAAATCCAAGCAACTACAACTCCCAAACATCAAGGTCTATTTTCCCCAAAACTCCACCAGTGTTCACATTTGGGCATATTGAGGATTCATGCCAAGTTTGGCCCAGATCCATCATTGTTTGAGTCCACAGATGTAGATGAACTACAACTCCAAAACTGAAGGTCAATGCCCACCAAACCATTCCAGTATTTCCTGTTGGTCATGGGAGTTCTGTGTGCCAAGTTTGATTCAATTCCATCATTGGTGGTGTTCAGAATGCTCTTTGATTGTAGGTGAACTATAAATCACAGCATTTATGTTGGAGGCTACAGACAATGCAGCTGCTGTTGCCCGTTTTTGATCAAAAGATATTTAGTCACTTGTGCTCCTTCTATTTTTATCAGTTTTATACTAATTTATGTGATACTTTTGAAACAAAATATATAAAAACTGCTAAATGTTCTACTGGGCTTTCCACATTGTGTTTTGTGAAACATGTTGCTGTTGTTGTTCATTCGTTCAGTCGCTTCCGACTCTTCGTGACCTCATGGACCAGCCCACACCAGAGCTCTGTCAGCCGTCACCACCCCCAGCTCCTTCAGAGTCAAGACAGTCACTTCAAGGATGCCATCCATCCATCTTGCCCTTGGTCGGCCCCTCTTCCTTTTTCCTTCCATTTTCCCCAGCATCATTATCTTCTCTAAGCTTTCCTGCCTTCTCATGATGTGGCAAAGTACTTCATTTTGGCCTCTAATATCCTTCCCTCCAATGAGCAGTCGGGCTTTATTTCCTGAAGTATGTGAAACATAAGTGCAGAATTTTCCCAATATCCCTTTTTGGCCACACACTTTTCTAGACATGCATCATATCACAACACAGTCATTCAGCTGTACTATCAAGCCAGTTAAACCAGCCCCAATATATGTGTGTGTGCATTTTTGTGGGTGTGATACAGTACAGGCAGTCCCCAAGTTACAGACATCTGGCAAACAACTCATAGTTAAGAACAGGGGTGAGACAACAGGAAGTGAGAGGAATCTATCCCTCCAAAGAGAAATTCACTCCTGGAAGAGTTATTATGGAGAAAGGGGTCTCATAGAATCATAGGGTTGGAAAAGACCTTGTGGGACATCCAGTCCAACCCCTGCCAAAAAGCAGGAAAATCACATTCAAGGAACCCCAAACAGATGGCCATCCAGCCTCTGTTTAAAAGCCTCCAAAGAAGGAATCTACACCACACTCCAGGGCAGAGAGTTCCACTGCTGAATAGCTCTCACAGTCAGGAAGTTTTTCCTCATGTTCAGATGGAATCGTCTTTCCTGTAATTTGATCCCATTGTTCTGCATCCTAGTCTCCAGGGCAGCAGAAAACAAGCTTGCTCCCTCCTCCCTGTGACTTCCCCTCACATATTTATACATGGCCATCATGTCTCCTCTCAATCTTCTCTTCTGCAGGCTAAACATGCCCAGCTCTTTAAGCCACTCCTGATAGGGCTTGTTCTCCAGACCCTTGATCATTTTAGTCACTCTCCTCTGGACACATTCCAGCTTGTCAACAGCTCCCTTCAATTGTGGTGCCCAGAACTAAAGCTTCCCATTATTGACAAGGAAGTTCGGAAAGCCTCGTGGAAATAGGAGGAAGCTTTGTGGAAGGAATTGGATAAGGAATCAGTACTAGTGTCCCCTAAAACTGCCATTGAACCCATCCAGACATGGTCAAACACACACACAAACATCAGGCCACAATTAGAATTAGTAACTGAATGGCAAAGAAAATTTATCTCTAACCTGGTAATGTTTTGTTTTTCAAAGGCTCAAAGACCATATAATGCAGTTTAAATCTTCAGTATATGGTCAGTGTAGAGTCATATAAGGCAGTTTATATGAGTGTCAAACTGCATTATATAGTAGTGTAGATGGAGCCAAAGACATTTTCAAAAGTTTTTTAGTGGTCTGTACTACAACAGCAATGGGATGTATGTGGTTTTTCAGATGTAGTTAGTCTGCAAATTCTTTCTGATAGAGATCTACAGCAAGCCAGTTCTCTTAGAGTATAAGGAATCACATAGTGTCAAGATTCACCCAATTTATTTATTTTCAGGCAATTCCTTTCATCCATAATATTCTCAGAATTTTGGTTTCAGTGTGTAAAGATTTGCAGTACTTTTTGTTGTCTCAATTGTTTCCTGTCCTGTTTGCTTCATCCTTTTCTCTCTCCATTTTGTACATCATCGAATCATCAAATCATAGAGTTGGAAGAGACCTTGTGGGCCATTCAGTCCAACCCCCTACCAAGAGGCAGGAAAATAGCATTCAAAGCACTCCTGACAAATGGACATCCAGCCTCTGATTCAAAGCCTCCAAAGGAGGAGCCTCCACCACACTCTGGGGCAGAGAGTTCCACTGCTGAACAGCTCTCACAGTTAGGAAGTTCTTCCTCATGTTCAGGTGGAATCTTCTTTCCTGTCATTTGAAGCCATTGTTCCACATCCTCCTTTTCATGGCATCTGGTTTTTTAAACTACTTTGATCTATTTGTTTTATTTAATTAAACCCAATTGACATACATTTCTTCATCAATATATTTCAATGTGGATTCATATGTAGTGGGTGAATTTTTACCATAACCTGCCACCCACTGTTTATACATTCTCTGTGCTACAACTACATAAGAAGGGCCAGGTGCCTGGCTGCCGGCAGTGGCGACTACCTTAAGCACAACTGGAAGGTCAAACAGATGTCAGTAACAAAGCACTGTCATCTCAATAGGGGAAAGTAATTTCTGCTAATTTAGGAAGGCCACACACCAAATTAAAACTGTATAGTAAGTGACTAACCAGTGATGCCTGCCTAGTGCAGTACCAACACATTGTAATGATAATATATGTATTTGAATGGAAAGATCTGGCAACATCACTATTTTCCCTAAACAAAATATTGGTACAATGGGGAGCTGCAATTGTTGTTTACTGTAGAGTTCATGTCTTCTTGAAGACAGTTTGGAAGCTGGAGCTAAAAAAAACATTATGGTCTGCCCTTTGACGCAAGAGAGTTGACTTTAATGCAAGTACTGTTTGACTGCTTACAATTATCAAGCCATATCCAGTTTTAGATACTAACTTATAAAGCTCTAAATAAACAGACCTGAGTCCCTCCGGGGAGAGAGGGAATATAATTAAAGCTTATTATTATTATTACTATTATTATTATTATTATTATTATTATTATTATTATTATTACTTGAGCCTCTAGTGGCACAATGGGTTAAATCCTTGTTCCAGCAGGACTGCTGATCAAAAGATTGATGGTTTGAATTTGGATAGTGGGGTGAGCTCCCATTTGTCAGCTCTAGCTTCCTATGTGAGGACATGAGAGAAGCCTCCTACAGGATGGTAAAACTTCCAGCCATCCTCTGGGCAACGCTCTTGCAGACAGCCAATTCTCTCAAACCAGCAGTGACTTGCAGTTTTGCAAGTGGCTCCTGACACAAAATAATAAAAAATGTTATTATTTTACTGATACAAAAACACAGTATGGCACAGCAAACGAGATATAAAATCACAAGTTGAACATTTCCCAAGCAGGGTTGTTGTAGGTTTTTTCGGGCTATATGGCCATGTTCTAGAGGCATTCTCTCCTGACATTTCGCCTGCATGTATAGCAAGCATCCGCAGAGGTTGTGAGGGTGCTTGCTTCCAAAGCATTTAGGACTGTGAGATGTATTTTGAATGATGTGCGCAGATCCAAGTAAGGTGGCCTTTTGCAGTTGACAGATCGTGATTTTGTCAATGTTTATTGTTTTCAAATGCTGGCTGAGACCTTTTGGCACAGTACCCAGTGTTCTGATTACCACTGGGACCACCTGTACTGGTTTATGCCAGAGCCTTTGCAGTTCAATTTTGAGTTCCTGATAACAACTGAGTTTTTCCTGTTGTTTTTTATCAATTCAATTGTCACCAGGTATGGCAACATCAATAATCTAAACTTTTTTTCCTTTCAATAATCATGATGTCTGGTGTATTGTGTTCCAAAACTTTTTCAGTCTGGATTCAAAAGTCCCACAGTATTTTTGTGTGTTCATTTTCCACTACCTTTGCAGGTTTATGATCCCATCAGTTCTTTCCTACTGGCAGGTGGTAATTGTGACATAAATTCCAATGAATCATTTGGGCCACAGAGTTATGCCTCTTCTTGGAATCACTGTAAAATAGTCATGCGTCCTGCACCCAAATCCATGAAGCAAGAGGACACTCTTCACTCCGGAGCCACTAAACAGGCAGA